CACGCAGATAACACGTATTGGTGGAGCACATGTGATTGCATCTCCCTCTACTGGCTAGCCCCAGCATTGGGGACCACGTTTTGTCCTCCAGAAGCAACCCTTCTGCTCACAGGAACCCCTTASCCCTAAAGGAGCACCCCAAACGCTACTGGCGTGTGTATTACAGAAGCAAGGGGAGTTTTAGGATAGCATGTTATCTGAGATACRGTCTGCGACAACCAATTAAACACAAGAGATGGAGCTGATACTGGAAAAAAAGTCTTGAATTGAGAGCAAAACGTGGAGATTATTTTAAAAATATTATACAACATGAAAAAAAGTGAAAATACTCGTGTAACATTCTAGCCATGTCCTCTACRAAGATTTTTTAAGTATAGTTCTTGGGGTATGATTTACTCTTGTGTTTAAGCACTGCCATAGTCATTCTCTTCTCACTCCTGTGATGCTAGGACATCAGCTCTGGCAATCCAATAGTTAATTCTGAATTCATTTAAACATTGGTCACTAAGAAGTCAGAAATCAAGGCCTCCTAATGACGTTTAATGGAGATCATCTTTTTGAGCTGGCTTGGCCAAGTTCTTTGGTGTATTTGTGCTATAATCCTGCGCTACAATATCATCTATTGACTGCTTAGTGTTACCATTCTTCAGGGTCAAAAGGATCAAAATGTAAAAAAAAAAATGGCTCCAGCCCAGCCAGAATGCAGTTCAAATAAACACTATGCTCACAGGGAGAAAAAGTTAAAATAAACCAATGGTTCTTAGTCATTCCCATGTGTTATATYGCCATATTAGGGATGCATATGCTGCTTCATATGTTATTTTCACTTGGATGAAATCTTATCACTCACCAAAGGCATAACACTTAAAACACAACATTCAATAAAATGACTATCTCGCTGTAAGCCAAAGCGTACAGAAAAATATAGAAGTATTTACTGTGACTAGAAATAATTGATTAAACAGTGTAGTTAACAGTCAGCCAATGTATGGACTGAAAAGGTCCTTACCACTTGCAGCAAAATGCATAGTCCTTTTTTTCTATAAAACCTTAACCCAAGAGAAGGCCTGATATGCCCTGCGTGAGCATGACATCYGTAAAAGAGGCATCATTGTCTGACTGATAGATAGTGCAAAATCAAGCTASTGAAGCACAGGAATCTTATAAATATTGATCGTACTAATAAACACTCAAGGAAATCAATCCTCCATTCCAGCTCTACATCTTSTACTCTTTATGTGCTTTCTACTAGGCACAGCTATCAAAATTCAGCCTACAACAGAATTCTGTTTCAATGACAGTTTGGGGCCATATAGCTCTAGGTTACACAGGCTTCTGAGCCACCAGGATGCTTTTCTTGCTAGAGCACAATTCCCTTCTGTGGTTGTCTGACCGGAGCAGCAGCAGGTCACCAAGCAGATCCCCCAGCCCAGAGCGGCCGCTCTCCTCTATAATTCCCCTTCATTTGAGCTCTGAACTCACAACACTTGGAGAGAGATCCCTGTGGAGCACAAAGGCTTGAATAAACAAGGAGAAATCAGAATCCCATGAGGGTCGCACACACAAATAACATTAACAGGCTGTGGCAACAGGGATCTGGAATGGAAATACATCAAGCCCTTTGCATCAGTCAAGTTGGGAGACTAAACAAATGGTATAASTCTGGGCCAAAATGTTCTGTCACCTATAGCAGCTGCTGCACCTGCAAGAGGGGCCATGCTCCTGAGAAAAGTGGTGACCAACATGAATGAACCTGATCACTCTTGATCTGCAGAGAGAAGTGCACATTAGGATAACGAAATCGGGGTCAAAAGACTAATTAAATTAAAGGAAAAGAATTTTTAAGGGCCTTTTTGACCAACTCTCTGTTGTTCTGTCCCAAGGAAAGATAAAAGGGAGCTTAACTCTACATCTCATTAGAGAGAAGAGGAGGGGAAGAACACGAAGGTTAATAGCAGAAGGGAGATCCAAGTAGACAAGATCTCCAAAGACGACCCCGAGAAGCCGTGAGTTAACCTCCTCATCCGGAACGAGCGGGTCACTCTCTGAAGCGGAGAGGTGAAACGCTAAAGCACCGAGGTCACCCAGCAGCGGGACCCGGTCACTGGCAGAGCGCAAGCCCCGGCATCTTCCCTGCTTCCTTCCCTCCGTGGCCAAATCCCAGGGCTTTCTCACTCTGTCCATGTCCGAGCTTCCACATTAACGGTGYTTCTTTCCTTTGGTCCACACCTGAAGGTTTAGTTTAAAGGATGATTTCTGCCTCTTTAGACAGAGACGCTGTCCCAAACCTAATTTTGCCAGAACTAGGCTTGAGCAGACTTAGAAACGGAGGCCAGATGAAACTTCCCATGACCCAGTACGTTTCAGAGAAAGCATCAGGATCACAGGGCTAAAAGAGTTTATCTTGGCTATTGGATTTATTTTGGCTGTAACAAATATTTTGACTTCTTACCCTACCAGTTTGCCAGCAAAAACACAGATCCAAGGTTGCAGGCTACAGCATTGTAGCAAGTTAGAGAATGACAAAGTGAAACATATATCAATTAATAAAGAGCTATTCATGCTATAAATGCCCCTTTGTGCCGTTTTCTGCATTCTGTAGCTCAGCTTATGGAAATACCGGGCCAGTTTTCCTCAAAGTTAATCTTAGAGATTCATTCTGCAGCAGGTTACACCGATACTTTCCTTACACCAAGCTCTCCAGTTCCTACCTAGTGTATCTTATCCCTCTCCCACGGAGAGGCAAAGCTATCCTACTTTCTAGAGCTGAGCATAAACTGACATTGGGAAAGACAACTCAGGACATTGAGGCTACCAAGCCCAAACATCTGGTTATGCTGACGATGGCAAAGCAGCATTATTAGGCGTCAGGGAGATGCACCAAAGCCCACATCCTCATTTCGGAGGCAGAAGGTTTAAATCTCTCATCTGGGARGAGGATTATATCCAATGTTATTTCAGCTCGGCATTAAGGACTCCGCTCTAACGGGATCTGCCCGTATGATTAGTCCTCACAGACTGTTCAAACCCAGCACTGCGAGGCGGCTTTCAGGAAAGTTCACTTTAAACGTACTCGAGTCCTGAGGGATAAGCCCTCCAAACTGCTTAGATTTCCAACTCAGTTAATAATCCAAAAATTAAACTGGCTCTTTCTGGCTATGGATTGACCTGTAATGCAGATTCCGCCCTTAGAAGTTAGTCAATGGCTAAAATAATGATATAGAAATCAATAAAACCAACCAYATTAGCTACAAAAGCCTGTTTTGTTAAATAGAGGCAGCAGATACAGAAGAGAGAGACATTTACACACAGGATAGCTCTTCTTAGCTAAATTTTAAATTGATAACCCTTACCAATCTATTGATACCACTTTTACCAATCTGGGGCTGATTATATGAGAAAAAAAACATGAAAATCATCTCCCCTGTTAAAAACTAGTGGGAAATAGTGGGAGACTAGTGAGTCAGGCACTGCGTCTCATACTCTCTTTCTCGTTAAAGACGTTGCAATGATCAAGGCTAGGAGGGAATTGTAGTGGAATATATGACTGTCCTGCTATATGTCAGTGTGCCAACTGTTGGGTTTAACCCACTACTTCGATACAGACAGAGGTATGAACCAGCAAAAACATGTGTTACTTTATGACTCCCTCAGACCCAGAATCTAAAGACCAGGGTTGTATTTTTAAACTCTTTAAAGTCTCATGAAGACTTTCATGCTCTACAGGATGACCATGGAGCCTCAGAAGAGGAAATGACACATGGAGATGAGTGATGCCACAGATTTCYCTGGAAATACCATTCATGAACTTAACAGCTTTCTTATTATTTCCTTTTTCTCCATCTGGAACATGCATGATATATACTGACTAAAGTTCAGTCTTTACTGAATCTGCAAAGCCTGGGGCTCCTCTAGGGTGCAAGCAAGAGAGGCTGGAAATGACACAGTTCTGCCAGGGATGCTGCTTAGTTCTTACTCCAAGCACTCCGTAGACTACTCAGAAATTCTCTTCTTCACTTCTAGACTGATATTTCAGACAAAAGTTTGAATAAAAGTTACAGTCCCGAGAAAAAGAAGTAACTGTGGCTACAACATGACATTATCCTTACACTCAGGATAAGCTGATTTATTTTGCAAAAGCACAGGTGATTTTAGTGATGTGTGCGCATGACTAACGCAACAAGACATAAAGACGCTTTTATGTGAAATGGGGTATTAGACTATATTTTCATTTCTCCTTCAGTAACAGGCAATAAATATTACAGCTAAGTCAATTGGACAACAAAKGCTAATATAGAAATGCCTTGTGGAAAAGCAAATGGTATACGGTGGCTGTTATAAAGGCTGTTATAAAAATAAATAGGAGATAAACGTCATTTTTAGCTCAGTAATCATTTTTAGCATCAATCTGAGGCTGATGATATTTGACCAAATGAAAAAGGACTATACTTTCTGGAAGCACCTGAATAGTGACATGTTGGCGCAAAGAACAAATGCTTTTCCCCATCAAGTCAAAGGTAAGATGTTGATGTTAAACCTAGCTAATAATAGTTAATAAAAGGTATTTTTTCTTGTATTATAACTCACATTAACTTGTTCTTCAGCTTTTATTTTGCGCATACAACTATTTCACCCTACACACTGACGGGCAAACTCGTTTCCCTCCAGTGAACTTTCTCCTCAGAGCTCAGACCATCAGAGGATTCAGCAGGGGTGATAAAAATGCTTCACTCCATCTTGTGGACATAGGGAATGCTGCAGTTCGTGCTTGGCTTTCCAGAATGATCCCGATTCAAGAAAATTTTCATCCTAGGCACAAGTAACGTTATATCCCATCGAGTGTATTAAACACAAGCTGTCTCTCCACATTCGTATGAAAACGGGTATAATACCTTTTCATGTTTTAACAGTCAAGAGGAACACAGCCTCATTTAAAGCAATGCAAAAAGTAGCGAATTCCACACAGCGTGGCATTTAAGAACAAAACCAAAGGCGCTTACCCGCTCGTGATATCATCGGCCCTGATGTTCTTGCCCAGCACGTCTCCATCGCTCATGTAGCCCGTGGCATCCATGGCGATGCCCTCCAGCTCCAGCTCGCCGCCGGCCTTGTCGCCGAGGTCCCCGGGGCCGCCGCCGCGCGCCGCCAGCTGCCTGCGCAGCGGCGCCGCGTACACGTAGCGCCCGGCCTCGGCGCTCACGAAGCGGCTGGCGTTGCCCCGCGGCGGGTACCCGTTGCCCACGGAGGGCGCGTCGCCCGCCTGCAGGCGGGGGCTCGACTGGCCCAGTCGCCACGACAAGGGGGTGGGTCTGCCCGTGAGGCTGAGGATGCTGCGGCCGCTGATTTCCGTGGTGACGGTGGTGTCAAACGTCGTTTCCAGTGTGCTACAAGAGAGAAATGCAAAATACTTTTTACATATCCATGAATTAAAGGTATACTACAAAACATTTGGTAATATTTATGTAGAGCTCTGGTTACAGAAGCATTTCAGGCCATGGCCTCTAAATGTAGTTTTTGACAAGAATTAAGCATATTAAATCTTCTACTATCCACGCCTGATCAACCAGATTCTCTTCCTTTCCTGTTACCTTTGTTTACAGAGAATATTCATTAAAATAAACAGTGCTGTTTTATTTGCAGCATAATGCAAGTACATATGGAGAGGGGAAAAAAAAATAAAATAAGGAGACCGATTGGGACTTCATCTCTTCAMGTTCTTGCTCAGTTTTGGATACAAAGCCACAAAAAGCTCATCCAATGAACCAGAGTCCACGAGGCATTAAGCACTGTGTAGGACCATGACCTCTGGCAGGTCACTCATCATATTGTCTCAAGCTTCCTGTTGAGCATTAAAAAGATTTAAGTCACCAAATGTTTAAGTGTAGTGACAGCCTTTGTTTATTTAGAGCATRTTTTAGATATTCCAAACAGTGCTTTACTTAAATTTTTCTAATATTATTAGTTACTCGTGTTTATAATTCTTTCTGTTTGCCTGAAGACTGGTCAGGAATTCAAGTTATGTGCTTTATCAAGTGGGTCAAGCACAGTTCACCTGCTTGTTTAAACAAAATATTACCCACTGGAGAGAGGGACATAATGCATTGAAGTTGTTCAAGAACAAATTGAAGTAACATCTTAAACGGTAACCTATATTCAAACATCACCTAATGCATTTAACAAGGCACTGCTTACGCTCCAACTTCATTCCTATATACAATCTGCCACCATCAGTTACTCGTCATAAATCTTGCTAATCATTGCACGCAGTTCAAAATCTGGGCTTTAAAGAGAAAAAGAAGATTAGTTTCTTCCACTGTCGGTGTTAAACCTGTTTCCAAGGCTGCAACACAGCCAGAATCAGGAGATGCAAAGCAAGAACAGTTATTTCAATAGTCTCGAGGTCAGGCGTGCCGTTACCTGTGAGTGACCTGGGTTCCCCGTAAGCTGGACATGGTCTCCTCTAGGTTCTGCCGAAGGTCAGCAATGTTCTTCACAGTTCGTAATCGCCGAGTTTCCGGATCCTCTCCTAGAGGAATATTACACCATTAGAAAAGATACAGAGGAAATAGTACAGAATTGAGCTCTTATCTCTGCCTGCATCTGTCTCCAACTCCATTTTTTAATACTCTAAACAGTTAATGGTGCAGATACTGCTCCTCCAGAGTGGGCATCTGCCCGGACTGGGGAACGGCTCCGTATCGTTAACTTTATTTCACGGGTTGCCTTTGCAGCAGGAAACGTTTCGGTATTGTCATTTCCCCACACGACCCAGTTTAAATYCTGGTTCATTTGCAACCTCATTAGAACATATATTACGTCGATACCATCTTTTCCATCTCCTATTGACACAATAAACATTGACCCAGCACAGTATGTCTCTCCACTACTATGCTCCCACCAAATCTTTTTCCTGTTTTAAATAGGTCTCGTTCTACAACGACTGCTTTCTAATAAAGCAACTGCTGTTGACTGAGTGCTCCAAGGTGAGTGGTATTTTAAGTAAAATAGCAAAATGTTTCACCTGGCCCCATCAAAACACAGGTATTATTTGAGTGGTCTATGACAACAAGGTTACRTTTGCTTTAAGAGGCGTTAAGAAACTAGGTTCTTTGAACAGCCTGTTCCAAAACTATTWTTTCTTGTGTTTTTTACCTTCAAAAAAAGCATCTCTATATGTCTAAAAAGAAACTCTTTGGACTTGCTTTTGGAGTTTTTGGAGTGTCTCAGGAGGTTTATTTGGTTTAATTACTCTCAGCATCAGTTAAGAACTGCTTTGGTTGATAACTCACCTGAACTTTGCATAGTTTTACATAGTCAAACATTCTCAACAGTTGAAAAGAAGTGACTCCTRATTTTGAGTTGTGCCAAGACGTTCTTTGGAAGCTGAATGCTGAAACAGGTAACTTCCAAAAAGCCACCCCAAGGTCTCTCTTAGACATATAAATTAATCTCTATTTTAGTGTTGTTGTTGAGCTTCCCACATTCTCCGAATTAATCCTCATGTTTATGAAACATGCTGGACTGATGGCAAAAAAAAAAAAAACCCACAACAACAAAAACCACTTCTATTGGCAAAGCAGATTAGCACAGACTTCCTACTGCTGCTCACCAACGCCGTGGAGGCCTGGCTGGAAAAAACTATCTGGAAGATAGATTTTTTGGGTTTTTTTTGCTTATACAGTTATTGGCCTGAGACAAACACCACTGGCTCAGTTAATGCCAGTGATATCTTTTTTTTTTTTTTTCATATGGGCCTCTACTCCCTGGGATATAAACTAACGACAATGCATTTCGCTTAGGCTGAATGATCAAATAATTATGACCTGGCTGTATTGGAAATAGCAGCCTGATAAGCTTGACTGCTGCAGCCACCGGGTCTCTGGGACAGAAAACATTTTTCTACACTCATGGATCTACAAATTATTGCAGCAAAGTACATAAAATATTTATATGCCATTAGCCTAACAAAGGTCAGAGTGCTCTTTCACAGATCATTTCTCTCATAGATATGAAGGCAAACACTAGATAAGTTCTTAAAAGAACATACAAGAGAGTTAGCTGAGTCTGAAGTTCTTTCTGTTATTTCTTTTGAGATCACTCAAACCCAAATTGATATAAAAGTTTACTTAAATAACATTCAAATGTAAATTAGAAAGATTTTCAAAGGACAGATATCRGATAGGGCTACTAAAAATTAATTATTAAATCATTTAGCTCTTCATGAATATGCAGCAAGTATCATTAAACTCTTCAGTTTCCAATTTTCCCTGCCTGGGCTTGCTCACTGTCTTTTTTTTTTTTCCCCCCCCTCTTCATATGTGCTTTTAATTTAAAAGCATTAATAGCTGTCATGTCCATAGAGGGAAAGAAGAAATCTGTTACTTGTTTCTCCTAATTTATTTGGCTCGAGGAATTGTTTTGGTTTTGCGTTTATTTTCCCCTAAGACTCCTTTATTGACTACTGCTGATGTGGAGCTTGGCCGTGCTCAGCTGCCTCCTGCATCCCATTGTTTGACACTGTCACGCTCACTTGCGTTTCTGGACCTCAAACTTACATATTCTACTTAAACAGCAGTTTGTATTTACCTAATGTTYGTTATTAAAGACAATAACCATGTGTGATCTAAAAACACAGCGTGAAACGCGTCCAGGCCAGGCAATGTGATGATGAATGTGTCAGACTGAAAAAGCCTAAGCTGGACACTCTGTGCCTCTTGCCTTGAACTGGCTCTCATATTTGAGCAGGAACCCAAAACTGCATTCAGGAATTTTAATTGTCGTGCCCTTTATTTGCCTTAAGCCAACGATATATGTGTCATATTKGCAGGTATGTATATTTATGTATTCTGCAGGCCTTTCCTTCAGCAGCGACTCTGCCTCTTGGCTTTGCCATCAGTCTATGCCTATCCACGTGTAAATGTGGCAGGGACAGAACATGCAACGAAATATGAAATTAACCCAAATGTGAAACTTAGTCCAGTGCTACTTAATCTGTTAGTTTCTCAAGCAACATAATCAGTTTCAAAATTCACATTAAACTAGAGGATGCCAGCATTGCCTCGATGAAAAATATTGAGATATTGYATTGATGGGATATACTGCAATATAGCTATCCTATAAGCATAAACATTGCTAAAAGCAGAAGGGAAGGAGGAGGAGAGATTTTATTGTAATTTAAGAACACTTTCTATGCTTTTAGTAGAATACAGTTGATAAAAATCGCTTTGTTATCACGGGTAAGCTTAAAAAATACTGCTCATTAGCAGGCATTTCTTAAATTAGCACAAAGTCTAGATAAATATAGAAAGTGCTTGGTAATTTAGACTACTTATACCCTAATCACAATCAATTTAGACTTGTGMATGCTGGACACAGCAAACCAAAGTGGAATGTCCTATTGCTGCAAGACCAGTTCTCAAATTGAGAATTAATGAGTGAACACTCTTTCAAACCTATAAACTAATAAAAACATCAAGAACAGTAAATTAATATCTGCTTAAGACTTCAGAGGTTACAGAAGACAGTAAATGGTAAAATATTAATATCGTGTTGTTAGAGRTAATTAGGACCCGCATAACATCTTAATCTTAAAATGGGCATATACTCCTCAGAAGACACACACAATTTTAATGATTTCCAGAAATCTGAGGGGTACGGTTTTGTAGAACTTGAGCCTTCAGTATTCAAAATATTAATAGCCAGTTTCCATCACTGAAGAGCCAAAAGAAATCTCCTAACTAGTAAAAAAGCAACGCCTCTGAATAAAAACAAATGAGATTTCCCCTTTACCCCCCGAAGAGGGAGCTCCTGACTTCCAGCTTGTTGCAGCCTTTAAGCCCACTCTTTTTTAAGCAAAGCACAGCCATGGCCAGACYTACCTGCGAGATCCTCGAGCCCCGGCTGTCCAGTTTTGACGTACAGCGTGGAATCCATGCTGAGCCCTCCCGTGCTGGCCTCGGCCGTCACATTGCCTTCGGTGTCCGTCTGTGACCTGAAGGGCAAAGCAGACCAGAGGGGTAAATTCAGAGGGGCAATTYGAGGTTTCACGACCGGAGCCGCTCAACAACTGTGCCCACCATCAGCCCCTCGGCCTTTTTCTCCACAAGAGGCTGGCAGACTGGCCCTACATAATTCATTAGTCCCATGCTGAACTATGTCCTAGAAATGGAAGCAAGCACTCAGCTGTAAAAAATAAAAAATTTATAGTCAAATAGAAGCTGCGCAGCTTTGCAGACAGGGCCCTAAGAGGCTGCTGGGGATTCCCAGCTAAATTTTAATCCTCACTAACATCATATGTCRTGGCTAATACTCTGATTCTAAGGAAGTCTGTACTGCACAAAGCAGGCAGTGCACAGTGGTGTGCTGCACTCCTCCAGATCTTCCTTCTATAACGAGCACCACGACTCATTTTTATTTTAAAATAAATGAATGGATAAAATTAACTTTAAACTCTGATTTGCGGCCTGTCTCTAGGTTGCTGTGGAATCAAAGGGTCATAGGAATCTTTTATCTCATCTAAGAGATCTGAACTCATTTCATTTTGGCAGTTGCCCTATGTTTTGCTCCTGGAGTCACATCGACAGGCAGCTGTTTTCCTGCCAAAGGCTCTGCAAAAGAGAGGAGACAACAGACAGTTACTTCACTCACCTCCCTTTCAGGTGACACCATAGGAAAGAGAACAATTTTTCTCTTTACTACATATAAAAGAAGAAAAATAAAAAAGCAAAAAATAATTAAAAAAACAAGCCAGAGAAGAAAATAAGTAAATCTACAGGCAACAGCTTAGTCTAAAGTAACCCTTCAATGAGTGTTTGCAACCTAGATGCACACTGGGAAACCTGCTGTGAATAACAAGGCGAGAAAGTTCAAAGCTAGCGAGACGATGCCAATTGGCCTTTTTCTTCCAGTGCTGAAAAGACTTTTAAAGTTTGCAGCTCTTTCCTTTCCTACCAAAAGGCAGCTACAAAACTGTTCTTTATAGAAGGCCAAATAAACATTACCAAGTTTATTGGTGTCACTTCAGATGTTATTTATACCCAAACTACTTGAGATGAACACCAAACGGAGTGCTTTTCTACTTCAGCTACTGACAGGACATGCTATTGGGATAAATTTATGGCAGTTCAACATGTCATCAACGCATCTTTGCGTGTTATGAGGAATAAACACAGTAACTGACAATCCCTATTTTAGTTACAAAGGAAATGGCACCAACTGCATTGGCAATTTGCAACTCAAAATATATTCTTTACAAAATGATTAGCGGCAGGTCCCACCATCAGCCAAAGATGGGACAATACATTCAGGCTAAAYGTAAGCACATGTCTTACCTATAGTTCTTTTCTTATACCGAGGCAGCTTCACTACTGCTAGCCACATTTGAGAGAAYGAGTAGCACCAGTTTATGATGCACGCATACTATAAGTTTTAAGCCCAAAATGCATTAAAAAAACTAAGCTGTGCAGCATAAGCAAAAAGCAGTAGTTAGACACCAAGGAGACAGCGTTGTGATGTTGGATGTTAGCTGTGTCACATACAATTAATGYTTTCTTGTTTACCAGAACATTTTGCACATCTCAGCCTGATTGCCTTTAGCAACAATTTTGGTGTGAACGTAAAATTTGTCCTTTCTCAAAGAAGGACCAACCAACCGTGCCTGAAGAGTTCTCCATACCTGTACATAAACGGAGCGACTGTGGCGGTGTTCGGGTGGTTGTATTGCTGCTGGGGATGAGGTAGCTGAACACTCACAGTGTTGCTTCCCGTGGTTTGCGTCGTAGCTGCCGCTCCATTGACAGCGTGGCTGCTGTTGCTGCTGTTGAGACCTCCTTTCCCTTCGGAAGAGGCTAAACTCGAGGAGGAGCTGGAGTTCCTGCTGTCTAGCTGAGTCTTCTGATGAGAGAGCCCCGAGCCAGGTTTCCCACTGCGGCTTCTCTCACTTTCTTTCGCAGACGCTGGGGCACTTGAGGATTTCCCTGTGGTGTTTTTCATTCCTGGTTTTGGTATTCCACTATGCGAAGGGGCAGAGGCCTCCTTCTTGGCACTATTCAGCTTTCCTCCTTTCGGGATAAAGCTCGCAATCTTTGAGGACTTTTTTGGCATCTCTGTTGTTGCTAGCGCTGTCTGCTCTTCTTTTGGCTCCTCTTTTATGTCCAGCTTTTCCGTGAYGGATGTTCTTTTTGCAGTTTCTTTACTTTTCTCCTTTTCTTTCTCTTTCTGCTTCTCTTTATCCTTCTCGTTCCCCTTTGGAGAGCTTTTCTTATTAGTCAGTGCCCGACTAAAAGTTCTTTGTGCAATGCCCTTGAGTGCAATTTTGGGACTGCTGGACATTGGTCCTGGGTTGTTCACATTTTGATTTGTGGCATCAATTTCTTCACTTTCCTCAAAGCTCGGGAGMATCTCCAGCTTTTCACAGCTGTTCTCCTGAGACCCTGGACCCTCGAGCGCTGTCCCTCCTGCTTTGGAGCCTCCTTTGCTATTGAAGAGTTTTAATTTCTCAAGCATGGATTTTTGGCCGTTGGGCGCCGTTTTGACCATTTCCGACGGTGGCTTTGGAGGCTCTRACACCGGCTGCTTTACAGATAGCATGGAAGACGTAGCTGTGTGCTTAGCACTAAGGGATTTGCTGCGCCAGGGTTTAATAGCAGAGCTGGGCTGGGGGATGGCTGAGGAGTTGTTGCAACCGAGAGCACTGCCGCAGCTTTGAACTGAGGAGGACACATTCTCATTCATTCCTGCGGGCTGGGAAGCGGTGCTGTCCGCAGAGTCTGAAAAAAATCAATTACAAAATACTGTAATATCGAGTATTAAAACTAGCCTGAGCTTTCCTTCTGTAAGGAAAAATCAGGATATTCGCACTGAGAACATCATAAAAAGACACATGTATCACTACTTGAAACACCAATATTACTTAAACAAAATAAAACCAGTTATTTTTCCCCTACTGAGCAAAACAAACAACTACGAGCTCTAGCTACATAACTTACATTTACTTACTTGCTGTTTCAAAGAAAGTAAACAAGAAAAAGAATCTTTCTCCAATTTAAACCAAAAATGTGTTTTGCAATTTCATGTTTCATTTCATTACATTCATTTTTTTTTCCCTTATTAATTCTATAACACTGCTTTATTAGCAAAAACTCAGTACTATTTTCTAAGGTTTCCCCTCTGCTTTGGCAAAATTTCTGCTTCCAAGTTCAATTCTTAGAAAAACCTCAAATGTATAAAAATGCAGCACTGAGGAYGAAAAATAAAACTGAAGTTATTTTACGGTTGGGGCGGGGGGGAACATTCAGACCTTCATATGCACGCAGACAGAAGCAAAATCCATATACAAATCTAAAACCCATGCAAAATCTATGCAATGAACCTAAATGATAAATTAACACCTAACTTCATCCAGCTGTAAGAGAAACCAGTGGCAGTAAGGGCAAGCCCTCCTCCTCGGAGACAGCAAATCCATCGTCTATTTTGTTCTTGGAACATTATTTGCTCTAAGAAATTAGTGCAGAGCCTGAAGAGCTTGAGAAAAAACTCACACTCACCTACCAGCCGCCACTTCTCCTCCAAAGTTTCTCTCGGCAAAGTTTCCTTTCTGGAGCCGTTGCTCTCTCTCAATTATCACAAACATGTTTTCTGTTAAACCGCTCATGTTTCCAATTAACTTGTGTCATCTACGTCTGTTCGCCTGCCCAGCAGCCTGCTGGGGATTAACGGCTCTTACCTATATTTCCCTGCCCTCCAGCAATAAAGTAAACAGCGTATAAAGCTGCTTTGCTTTTTTTTTTTTTTTTCCCTTAATTTGAAAATCAACAGCAGTTGAGCGAGTACATTTTGGGCAGCCCGAGCAGCCCTGTGGGTTCAGTGCCATAAATCCTGAGCTTTGCTGCTTTGCTTCACGTGCAGCTGCTCACTGCGGACCCGGCGCTGTTAACCTCTCCGCTCTGATCCAAACCAGATCGAGCGAAGATTTAAAGCACATACATCTTCGTGACTTAGCAGAGAAGCGGCTTTCTAAGAGTATTAGAGATTCTTTAATAATAAACTCGGTCATTTTACATGGTTACACGCTAAGTAGGATAGCAGGGATTAATGACACTTGCAAAACAATATTACTGAGGTTGGAAGATTTCCAGGGCTCTGTTATTAACCAATAACTGTACTCGCTCATCTTACTAGTCTTATTCCTAGGGAAAACTATCCTCAAGGGGATAGAAGGGGAAAAAAAAGCTGGTTTACAAGCATATAACGGAGTTGTACTTCTATATTATTGTGTCACCTTTCAGGGCATCATGACTTCTGTTTTATCCCAGGACAGAGGGGAAAAAAACAAGTTAGCCCAACAGTAATGCCACTCAGTCCTCTCGCTGCTCTGCCCCAGCCCACTAAGCTCAACCAGCTGCATTGAGGAGGACTGAAAAAGCGGTGGTGTAGRAGTGGCACCAACTTGAGTGGGAAGAGGGTCAAAAGTATTTTAGAAGCTGTTGAAAATGCCCCTCCCTCTGCTTTCTCTTGCACACCTCTTAAGAGTAWACTGATTTTTAATTATTTTTTTCTTCTAGAAGTCTCCCACCTGCTCCTGGTTGCAACATTGCCCCGTTGTCCCTTTGCACACTCCAAACAAGTAAGTCTTTACGTCATTCAATAGCAGACGCCTAGTAAGGTAATGAAAGCTTCATGAAACTCCCAAGGGTATGTAATTTACAACTAATTTGCTTAGCTTTACTTGAAAAACAACACGTAATTGCCCATTTCCAGGTCTAGATCCTTGCAGAGAAATTGAAAAGTCACAGTCCAAATGTGTTCTGGTCTTCCAGTGATAAATAAATCTTGACACAAAGCGTATCCATGCCCGTAAATCCACAGAGCTGTCTGTGATTTGTGCACATTCATGGGACTGGTTTAGACTTGGGTCTATGGATGAAACGTAACACATTAATCATATGCCATCATTATATTAAACATATTAATCACGATAYATTACTCGTGCCAACACAAGGAGTAATGGCAAAACGGACTGGGCTCTGTAAGGGACAATATCAGCTGGAAATTCACTGGTAAGGAAGCAGTTTGCAAAGCAGGGCTTCTGGTTCTATATGCACATATAGCAGGTAGCAAGAAGTGCAGGAAGAGCCGTGTGATGAGACAGGCTGTGCAACGTGTGCATCACCTGCCTACAGTGCAAACCCGCTTTGGGCTGAGGCCACGTTTAGCCCTTGGATGTGCTCAGTGGAAAAGGTTTGTAAAAGATCTGTGTACTTTTTATATAGTTTCTTATAAAAGCATTTGAAGCAATTATACACACAATGCAAGTTGTATTTGTGTAACGAAAGCTGTTCTGCACTCGTAGATCTCCAGGCTCACTCCGAGAGCCTTGACTTGAGCATCAACCTGCTGGCGAAGGCCCATGCCCCAGGACCAGGCCCTGCTCCACAACCCGGAGCAGATCTTCCTCAAGCTCCTGCAGCTCCACTGCGAGGCAGGAACTGGAGGCAGCCACATCAAAACACCCTTCATGTGAACACCATAGGGTTTTCTTAAAAATAAAAAGCTGGTGGTGGTCTAGTTGAACTGGAAAGTGAACTTCTTCCTAACAGCACGGGCAAGTGCTCTAATCTTTGGATTTTGAGGGAAAAGRTATTTGGGGAATCAAATGAAGCAGCACTTCCCACCTCCCCCATCCACAAGCATTTTTCAAAATTTCTTTCTAAAAGAAGTGTACCTTTTTTATAAAAATGGTGTTCCCCAACTTCTCATACACCAGTGSTGTGGCATAAGTACAAGGCAATTCCACTCTGCAAGTTACTCTCAATTTACACACCTCAGAGAAATGAATAAGGGCCACAGTATTATGACTGTAACAAACGGGGCAGAAAAAAAAAGAGCACACAAGGGCATTAATATGATTTTCAGGGTTTATAGGTAACATTTTCTAGAAATTATCTTGAAAAAGGTTGGATTCTACAATTYTGGTATTAATGAAAAACATTTAGGAACTCTCAAATATACCTCAAGTGGCTACACTTCAGAAAAAGAAAGAAAGATATCTGCTTACACAAGTGGGGATTTTGATTTATGTTGAGGTCAAATACAGAGAAATTGGAAATTGAGAGTCCTTGAGTCTTCATGGAGCAAAAAATAAAAAAAATAAAAAATAAAAAAAGAGGTTGACAGCAGAAATCTCTCATGAAAACCGGCTCCACCTTCCGAAAACTTCTATTTTTCCACAGCTCTCCATTCCTGCCTCACAAATGAGTCTGCTGCCTCTTTCATTCCCGAGACCAACGTCTTCCCGTGGTGAAGGGAAAGGGGGTGCTGCTGCCAGGACGCAGCTTCAGACGCGAGGTTTCCTAATGAAGCACTGACACCAAGACGTGTGTAATACATCAGCATGCAAAGGAGGAAGTTGCATTCAGCAGAGCAGAGGCCCTCCTTTCATGGAAAGGAGAGGAGGTTTCATGCATTCTATTAATACGCTTATTATTTCCCATGTGTTCTTTGTGAGGGAGATATTTTCTTTCTTCAGCAACCTGCATTAACTAAAACTGACTATAAAAGAAATGTTTTCCAACCCGAGCTACAGCCTACAAGAAATAATGATCTTTTCGCTCTTTTCAAAGTCAAACGTTGGCCTGGAATCTATTTGGTTCCTAGTGTTCCCGTTAAAAAGATGTTGGTGGTCTAGTTCCAATGCCAACACGCGCTGTAGCTTGGGTAAATCTGATTTCAGCTGCTCCTGCAAAGCCTTAACTGCATCTGCAAACCTAGCCATTTGTGACAAAAAAAAAAAAAAAAAAGAATCTAATAGCTTATGATTTAAAATCTCCCACTGAAGTCCTTGAGTGCTTATATTATAAGACAGTCTGGAGAAAATATATGCAATTTCCCATCATTTGTCAAGTTAAGTTTAAGCAAGCGCGCTCCAATTTGCTCTAGATGAAAACTTCCCAAACCAATCCTTATAAGCATGAAAGGCGGCATGAAGACAAAGGATGTTTTCACAGTTATTTCTCCTTGGAAAGGTCAGGAACTTAACAGTATTTTTATTTGCTTCCAAACGAATAAGCTGTCATTTTTTACTTCACAGCTATGGGAAAAATAAGAAGTTCTCATGAAAAGATACATCTCTAGTCCAGCCCACAGATTAGACAGCTCTAATTTAAAAGCAAATCCACCATCAAATTCTAATTTAGGAAGTAAAAGCAGATCTGCTCTATGACATTATAGTGCCAGAGCCATAGAAACCACTGGGCCAATTTCATCATTTCTTATGTTGACAATAACTGGCCAGTCTTGACCCTTCTCACCCCACCCACCAGAAGACTCCCTCAAAATACTATGAATAAGCAATCCTACAAAGAAAAGCTTTTTAGCTGAGCTGTATCCTCATCAGTGGCGATTTATCATCCTTAGCAACCCCCTGAAGTATGGAAATGTCTGTATTCCTGCCAGGAGCTTACTAAAAAAAAAAAATCAGTATTTTTCCATAATCAAAAGCAAGAGCAGGTTGAGCACGGCATTCTGAACAAGAACAAAGAGCACACAGTCCTTGATCAAAGTCACCAAAACCTTGGTAATTCACAGGAGTTTTTGTTTCAGTTGTAATGCTATTTACTTTAGAGAACCATAGGTGTGCTGAATGGACTGGCTGCCTTCACTGGGCCAGGGATACGGGAAGAACCTCGGTCTTCTCTGATAAGTTGGCTGAACCCTTGGAGCAGTTTTTTTTCCTACTCTAGGCCATGACAAAAAGCAATAAAAACATTTT